AAAATCAATCGAATAAAAGCATCCTGTAAATATATCCTTGTAAAACAAAAAAAATATAATCTATTTAAAGAGTTAAAACATGCAGTTACAGATTATAGCCCTAAATTTTCTCAGAAATTTGTAGATTTGGTTTTCCAACAATTTCATAAAAATTTTCCTTCAATTTATTTAATTCATTATATAGATTATATTTTTTTTGTTTTACAAGGATATATTTACAGGATGCTTTTATTCAATTGATTTTTGATTTGCAGTTTTCTTGGACTCCTTACAATATGCCTGCTTTTTCCTATATAAGATGTAACCTAAGAATCAATAAACGAGACTTGATCAGAATACTGTCTTGTCTCCCATCTCTCGCGTCTCTTGTCCCATCCAATTCCCACTCCCCCCTCCAGGGTCTGCGTTGAATATCCCGCGGGTCGGGACAGACTAACACCTCAAAACTATGAAGAAGGAAAAGGATGACGTATTAAAACTATAACAGTTTTGCCCAAGTGTAGTAAATAGAGGAAAAACAACCTGTTAAGGATGCTACAGTTGTGAGAGTCATGGACCAAAAATAAAAATAAAAAAAGTATACACATGGTATGGACACCATAGCTTTATCTTCATACCTCTCTGATCACTGTATTCCAAGGATCCTAGGCTGAATGTTCTTAGCTCGATCTGCCACTTTTTCATTCAGCATTTTTCTAAACCCAATTAGGAAAATGACTAAATATTTTGTTCCCTGGCCACAATCAAAAATTTCCACACTTAGAATGCTAGACAATACTATAAAACTGAAAGTATCATTTATTATAGAAATGCCCTATCTTTACTATATGGAGTATATAAAGTATTTTTCAAAATATAAAGTAACATATAACAATGGAAAATTCAATATTTTATTCAGTTTTGAGGCATGACTTAAAACACATAAATTTTTTTAAATGTTTAAGACAAATACTATTAGCATAGCACAAAAGGTAATTAAATATTCTACAATGGTAGCAAAAAATGTATAAAGATATTTTCTTAATTTAACTCCCTAAAAGTAGAAATTAAGAAGTAATCTTTAAAGAGCTTTATGTAGTTCTATTTAATGTTCATCTTTGTCTTAATGTCTAGAAAGCCTTTCTGTGTGATAGTAATGATTTTAAAGCATCATGTATTTAATCGTTTTTTAAGACTGATAAATCTCTTTGAGCTATGATCACAATGCATATGCTTGTAAGACTTGGTGAGAATGGACTGAAGATGCTCAGGATGCTAAATATAATTCTCTGAGAGATTTAAACCTAACTGGTTAAAAAATAATTTGAGTATTTTAGAGTCTGTGAAGAGAGGAGGGAATTTACTGGCCTTTATCTCCTTTCCTATTCAAGTCATGAGGTGTTGCACGAGAAATCACCAGTATTCAGCTCAGTTGTGTAATAAGTCAAATACAGATACATCACAATCTATTTTGTGTAGAAAGAGGAAATGAAATCCTTGTTAGGAAAAAAAAAAATGTCAGTCATTATAAGAAATGATGGCAAGAGATTTCTCAAAAGGAAATGAAGGGTTGACCAGTTAGCTCAGTTGGTTAGAGCACGGTATCATAACTCCAAGGTTAAGGGTTTGGATCACTGTACAGACCAGCTGCCAAAAAGGGAAATAAAACACACCAGGTGTTGTTAGCCATGTCTTTTCAGACAGTGATTGCTCTTTCCTGTTTCTCCAGAACTCAGAATGGACCTAATGGGCAAGACATTAAGTCAGTTACTGATATTTTATTTAGTATTAAAGCATCAAGGCAGAAATTATAAGGTTATAACAAAATAGCAAACCCCCCAACTTTAAAAAAACTCACCACACCACTGACTAATTTCACATTACTGAAAAGCAACAAACAAAATTCTAAGACACAAAGCAAAAAATATATGTTTTAGAAAAATTTTTAATGTTTTCTTTCGAACAATTCTATGAAACTTAAATATGTAATGCAACTATATTTTCTATTAACCCATTTTGCTGTTTTCTTTTGAACAATTCTATGAAAATTAAATATGTAATGTAATTATATTTTCTATTAACCCATTTTGTTGTTCAATTCTTCACTCAGGGCTCAATGGTTCTAGGATTATCACTGATGCCTAAAATTCTAAGCAAATGTCATTAAGTAATAGCTGGTTGTAAAATTTCTTCATTTCTATTAAAAAAAAAATCTCTTCAGCACTTGGACAAGGGAAGGACTTGTATGCTACATCATGATGACCTTTTATTTTTATTTGTATTTTGTTGGCAGTTCAGTTAAGTTGGTTTCAACATTTATTGAGCACCTACTATATGCCAGGCACTGTACTAGATTTTGGAGACACAAAGATGAGTAATACATGGTTCCTGTCCCCAAAGAGTTTACAATCTCTTGAAGACAAACAGATAATGCGAAGACACAGAGTTTACTCTAAAACGAACAAAACATGTAAATAATGTAGTAATATTCGGCCTTTAAATACAATGGTATGTCATTGTTTGTAATGTCAAGGCAGACAATTAAAATGCATGTTCATGTGATAGAACAGTAAAATCATTAAGACCTAACTTTTTAAAGATTCACATAATAAAGGTAGTTAATACTAAAAATTTACACCATAGTTTTTCAAGTATTTCATACTTAGAAATATTATTGCCCACATTTGTGCTATAGTCAAAGCCATAATTCCAGGTTGCTGTATCATTCACACCTCAGCACGCTGGGATTCAGCTTCTCACTGAGTTTATGAATTAGAATGGCCAATTCCTCAGTTGCTTGGCTCTTGTCCTCCAAAAGTTCATAACGAAGGCTGGAGATATCTTGCTTGATTTCTTTTAATTCGCCTATAATATTTGTATTAGAAATATACAAAATTGGCAATTAGCTCTTTGGATTTAGAAAAGAACAAAGAGTGAAATTCAAACAATAAATGAATACATTTTGCTTCATCAAGTCTCCAATGTAGTATTTCAAATTTTTTTCTTCAAAATATTTTAGAAATATCTGTTTTTAAAAATATAGTGATCCTTTGATAAAAGCTATAAAAATAGTCCAGCTATGTTGTTAATAGTAAAACTCAGCTTAAAGTATTCTTCTTTGGCTCACCCAACTTTTAACACAGGGTGATCTCTACAGCCAGGTTGTCTACTTTCTGTTTACAGAGAGTCCCTTTGTTTCCCTCAAGCATAGGGTTGACACCTAGATGGAACATCTCCCATTGCTAGGATCAAAGGAAATCCTAGCTAACCTAAACTTTATTAAAAATGAAGAAATATATTTAATAGGCAAATACATAGAAGAAGTAAATGTTCAAATTTGAAGTAAGGAAAGGAAGAAGAGTAGGGGTGTTTATTAGGGAAGGCAGTGGTAATGAACATGGAGTCAAAGAACAAACAAATTAGTTTGGCACAGAGAATTGATGCATAAGGAAGTAACAAGCAATGTTCAAATTGACATTTAGATGTGATACCATTGGCAATGTGTAGATTCCATACTCTCAAAAAGGAGAGTTCTGGCTCTTAAAACACAACTGCTCTCACAGTTCAGCTTGCAGTATTTTGAGTGTATGTATGTAGATTGCAATTAAAATCTGGATTCTTAGGCCGGCCCGGTGGCGCACTGCTACAGTGCACCGCTTGGGAGCGCGGTGGCGCTCCTGCCGAGGGTTCGGATCCCACATACAGATCGGTTCCCGCTCACTGGCTGAGCGAGGTGCGGGCGCAGCACCGAGGGTTGCGATCCGTTGCCGGACATAAAAAAAGACAAAAAAAAGGGGGAAAAAAAAAAAAAACTGGATTCTGGCTGTGGATTGAATGTCCCCCCAAAACTCTTTGAAAACAATCTCCATGGTAGCAGTGTTAAAAGGGTGGGAAATCTTGTTATGGTAATTGAAATGTGAGGCCTTTACAAAGTGATTAGATTGTAAGGACTGTACACTTTTGAATGGATTAATCCATTGATGGTTTAATGGGTGGTCATGGGCATTGTTCTGACAGGTTTAAAAGGAGAGCAAGTGAGGAGGTTAGCTCTCTTGCTCAGCCTATTCGCCATGTGATATACCCTGAGTTGCTCTGGAGAGTTCCCACAGAGAAGAATGCCCTCATCAGATGTGTTTCCTGGACCAAGGACTTCTCAGCCTCTGAAACTGTAAGAAATAAATTCTATTTCTTTATAAATTACTTGGTTTCAGGTATTCTGTTATAAGCAACAGAAATGGTCTAATACAATTCTCTTGCAAGTGACTGTAATACATAGATAAGCCACTGACCTTGAAAAGTGAATTGGGGCAGGAATTTACCTTGATTCTAAGAAATGATTTTTCAAATCATTGGTACTTTGACTTAGCTTTTTATAGTAGAATGGTGTGTAAAACACACCTTTGATGACATTTTCCTGGTATCTTTATGATGCTTTAAGGTATAATTTCTACATTCTTCTATTATATATAAAAAAAAGTCAGTTTTTCTGAAGGAATTCTAACTCTTCCTCAAGAATACACACAAAACATTTGTGGATTCCTTTTGTGGCAAAAAAAAAAAAAAAAGTGCTTCCTTTGGCATATGGCACTATAGACGGAATACACTGATCTAATTTGAAATCACAAGGCCAGTCTTTAGTGGGAGGAATGAATGCTCACTCCATTCAGTCCTGTAATGGACCCACTTTTACCTCCCTCTTGCCATATCCTTCCTTCTTGTTCTTGTGTCATGGTGAGACTATATACTAACTGTGGTATTTAGTCTGCCAATATAGGAAACACAAATTATTCAACCTCTTTGGATGTTAGTTTCCTCATTTGTTAAATGAGGAGGTTAAGCTATATGATCTACTTTCTTAGTCAAGAGTTTTGTTCAAAACTCCAAATGCTCATTTTCCTCTTTTGTGCAAAGGCTTGGAAAATACTCATTTTTAACGCTGTTGTGGCTGTCCAATTCCTCCCACTTCACTTTCATTTTCTTTTTTCTGGTACAACGGATCGGATTTCTGCTTTCTAAACGACAACCTCACTCCAATCCTATCTCCCTGAGACTGTTTCTAGGTCACCACAACTGAAGTTTTGCTAGTTCACAATCACACATTCTTAGATTTCTTTTCTACATAGGAATACCATTGGATTGACTCAGATTTGCAAGGGATTCCTTTTATTAACCAAGTAATGGCATCAAAGCCCATCAACAATTTTACAAAGCTTAGCCTTTTCTTCTCTTATCAGTGTACATAGATCTAGTGGCATCTCATTGGTATTGGAAGATACAGTTTCCATTTTTAGGGCATCTTGTTTCTCTCAGGTTGATTTCTTTCCAACTCTGGGCTTGTGCTTTGGTCTACCCTCAGCTTTTGATGAAAAATTTTTAAAGTCCAGACAGATACTCTGCCTAGGATATGCCTTGAAAAGTTCTGCTTAAGTAAGGACTCTAGGAGAAAAGTAAAATTCAGAAGAGAAACACCAGTTGAAAAAAATGGTTTAGAGATTTGTTTCTGGATAACAAAATAGATGTTTTTCTGAAGATGTGGATTCTGTCTGACTCAACTGTTCTTTTACCTGCATCACTGGAAAAACGTTGTTAACATGATGTGAACTCACTAAAAATAGAACTGACACTGTTTACCCTACGGAAGAAGGATTTTAAAACTCCTAGAAAGATGGCAATCCTTACATTCTGAGAATCAGTTAGGGCACTCTGAGTAGAGATAAATTGCCTCTGATCAACCTTTTTAATGACTGTTTCTTTAAAAACATGGAGTTTTAGAAATGTAACACAAGATCTTCCTGTTAATCATGGAGGAACCCAAACTGTAACCCGGGGTTGAATTTTCAAAGTATGCTTCAATATGAAGTTTTCCAAGTTCATAGTTAGTTAGAAAAGGATATTCCTCAAATTGGAGATGCTTACCTTCATTAACTTCATCATTTTCTTTGTCTACTTGTGCTTTCAAAACATACCGTTTTATAAGTCTTTTCATTATCTGCTGTTGGGCAAAAAGAAATGATTAGATCACCAATGATACACATAAGTACCCTGGATCCTATTCTCCAAAAAGCCATACATACCTGTAAAGCAAACAACTCAGGGAAGAAGAATTTTATATAACTATTTACATGAGAATTACCAGGTTTCAGAACTTAACATTTTTTCACCTTCCACTGAGATTTATTGCATAATCCACAAACAATGCTTTTCTTTGCTTTTTTTTTTTTTTTTTGCCTCAGGAGTGGAAAATGCTTTTAAAAAAGGTTAAGTTGGAAGATTTCAATTCATGGTTTTTCTTTCAGCTAACGGTTTCTCTGTAAGGTGCATTGACACTGCATTATCACCGAGAGACACTACCTTATTTCTCACTATTAAAAAAAACCCAAACAACAAACAAAAAAAACTATTAATATATGCTCAATACAGAGAATTTGGAAAATACAGAGAAGAAAAAATGAAATGAACAAAAACATTGATAACCCCACCATCCAAAGATAATCACTGTTGTTATTTTGGTGTATGTCCTTTAAAATCTTTTCTTTAAATTTTGTATATACACTCATTACCATATGTATTACATTTTATGTTTTCTGAATACTATATATTCTGTTATATTGCATGCTTTCCTCTCATAGCAATATAGATTGTGACTATTTTTTTATTGCACTGATGAAATAATTCAAAAACTTTATTGACCTGATTAGAATATGCCAGATGAGAAACAATATTGCACAGAAAGTTGTACAGAATTTTTTACATAGAAAACTTTACATCTGTACCATATACATTTTATCCATTTGAAAAAAATTTCTATATCCACTGTTAGATTGTGACTATTTTTAAATCTAAATAAATGGTGAGCGCTGCTAGTTAGCTCAGTTGGTTAGAGCACAGTGCTGATAAAACCAAGGCCAACGGTTTGGATCCCCATAATAGCCAGCCACCCAACACCCCAAAAAATACTGTTATGGGATACTTGTTTATCTATATGAAAAAAGTTAAATTGGAGCCTTACTTCATATCGTGAACACAAAAACTAATTCTACATGCATCTTAAATGTGAAAGACAAATATTTTGAATCCTTTAAATGAAAGTATATGAAAATATGTTTATAAATTCAGGGTAGAGCTAATTTTTAAAAAACAAGGTAAAAATTCTAATTGCAAAAGAAAAGATTGATAAATTCAACTTCATTACAATTTAAAACTTCTGTTTATAAAGATACAATAAGGAAAGTTAAAAGGCAATGTACAAACTGGGAGAAAATATTGGTAATACTTATAAGTGACAAATAATTTGGATTCAAATAAATAAATAACTTTAATTCAATAAGAAAAACTCAACCCAATAAAAAAAATTGGCAAAAGACAAACAGGTATTTCACAGAAAAGGAAATGTGAATGGTCAACAAACCTATAAAACAAGCTCAGACTCCTTTCATGGGGAAATACAAATTATGACTAAAAGGAGGCACAATTTTACATTTTATTTTATTAATTAATTAATTTATTTATTTATTCCCTTTTTTTTGTCTTTTTTACTGACCGGTAACAGGATCGCAACCCTTGGCGCTGCGCCCGCACTGCGCTCAGCCAGTGAGCGGGAACCGGTCTCCACATGGGATCCGAACCCTCGGCGGGAGGACCACCGCGCTCCCAAGTGGCGCACTCTCCAGTGCGCCACTGGGCCGGCCCCAATTTTACATTTTATAAGAGTAAAATTAATAAATCTGATAATGCCAAATGTTTAAAGGATATGGCTCAATGGGGACTTTATACTTTACTGGCATGAGCGTAAATAGACAACTTTGAAAACAATTTGGTATTATATCTCAAGGTTGAACATTTGCATATCCTTTCACCCAGAAAGTCCACTCCTTGGGAAATGCTAGGGAAATTTTGCACATTTGGACCAAGAGACATGACAACAATGTTTACAGCAACCCTGCCTGAAATAGCAAAAAACTGGAAACAATCTAAACAAACATCAACAGGAGAATAGACAAATAAATTGTGGTATGTTACACTATGTAACGTTATGGTTTTCATTAATGAAATTAATGAACCATAGGCACACATAACAATGTGGATGAATCTTAGAAGCATAATGTTGAATGAAAATTTTCAGCTGCAGAAGACTTCATGAAGTATGAAACTATTCTTATAAAACTTAATAACAAGTAAGTCTATTTAATATATTTTTAGAAATCTCTATATGTAATAAACTTACACTTGAAAAGAAGGCAAAGCAAGAGGATAAAAAACCCAATCCTCAGGGTAGTAATTACCTCTTAGACGGAGGCAGAGGGTAGTATAGGGAGGAGCACATAAGCAGAGGCAACGGATAATGTTACCATTGTCATGTAGGTGGTGGTTTCACAGGTATGCATATAATCACACTTCATAATAAATTATGTGTTAGATATATTCTTGTGCGTGTACCAGATATCACATTTAAAAGTTAATAAAGGAAAGAAAAAAAAGGCCTGAACTAAAATGCAGACAGAGTGAGAATGGAAAATATATCTCAATTTTAAGGAAGTAGAAATTATGAACCTAAGTGACCCACTAGATGGCAAGGCCAAGTAAAAGGGAGGAATCTAGGATAATTCAAAATGTCTGTTTCAGAGAATAACAACAGACCAAGAGAGAGCCCATGCTATTGAAAACAAAAAGCCCATCTTACCAGTCACAATAAAATGTAAAACCTGTGGAATAGTGTGGAATCTAGACCCCAGGAGAGACCCATAGCTGGATGAATCTTAAACTGGACTCATTCATTCATTCAGCAAATGTTTATTGAGTACCAGTTCTGTGCCAGGTACTGTAGAAGGTGCTAGCGATACAACAGTGAACACAATCCCTAGTCCAGTGAAACTTTACATCTATATGGAACAATCCACTATAATGGGAAAATACATCAGGGATCTTATTAAGTCTAGGGGACAATGAAGGTAGATTCCTGCAGAAAGAAAATACAAAGTTGTGTATATCAGTTACATGTAACCTGAAAATTGGAGGAAAAGAAAAGATATTCAACAAGTAGTGTTGGAACAATGGACTACCCTTATGGGAAAGTTAAAATTAGATCTCTGCCTTACACCATATACAAAAAAAGAGATAGCCAAATGGATTAGAGATCTAAATATGGGCTGGTTAGCTTAGTTGGTTACAACATGGTTATAACATCAAGGCCAAGGGTTCAGATCCCAGTGCTGGCCAGCCACACACACACACACACACACACACACACACAGATCTAAATATGGAAAGCAATTTTTTTAAAGAAAAAGGGAAATATTTCTTGAAAAGATATTTCCATGCCATAAGGAAAAGATGGATAAATCTGACTATATTCATATAATTTTTAAACATTTTTTTTTTTTTGTCTTTTTTCGTGTCTGGCAATGGATCGCAACCCTCAGTGTTGCGCCGGTACCGGACCGGGACTGGCAACGGGATCGCAATCCTTGGCGCTGCGCCCGCACCTCACTCAGCCAGTGAGCGGGAACCGGTCTGTATGTGGGATCCGAACCCTCGGCGGGAGCGCCGCCGCACTCCCAAGCGGCGCACTATAGCAGTGCGCCACCGGGCCGGCCCCAATAATTTTTAAACATTTATACAATAAAGTATACCAGTGAAATATAACCTTAAGTCAGATGGAATTTTTCTTGTTGTTCTGGAATTATTTATAAGCCCCAAACTGATGACAAAGCATGCTAAGTACCCTATGGTCTAAGAACAAGTGGCCATTAGCAGTTGGGGCCAACTACCTCCCCTCACCGCTTACTGAGAATCACCAGACCAGTACTGAATTTACCACCCACTTCCTCTTCACCCTCTTCCCAAGGACAAGGACTGAGACATGAAAGGGATCATGGGTCTTCTGCAGAGAGAGGTTATTCTCTCCCTCCCCTGTGTGAAAGGGAAGAAATGCTTCCCTCTCCCCTGAATTTAAGGGAAGGAGGGAATCCAAGGCAATCACCCATAAAGATTAGGATTGCCTAAAAGAAAAGGAGCTTGACATCTTGTTTCCAACTGAGTGTCTACTCTGGCAGGCTTGCTGACCTGCTCCTGGCAGTTAAGTCAGGGAGGAAAAAGCCAACTCAGAGATAAGAGAGGAGCAGCCATTGGGTCAATCTGTACTACCATTATTTGACAACAGATAGGAATTTCCACTGGGTTTGGTGGAAGGCAGTAATACAAATTAGTGGGAAAGAAGAGTCTATTCAATGAATGGGTCTAGGACAAAGGGTTGTGATAATAGAAAAGTTTAAAATTAGATCCATGCCACAAGTCAGAGCCAGATCTCTACATCGGAAACTGTGCTTAATTTTTTCCTAAAAATTAAGATGAGGCAGAATGTATTTGTAGTTAAGAATCTCTGAACTTGAATACAGGCTTTTATTTACTGGCTGAGTGAACTTAAGGTACTCAAACTCTCTTAAGCTTCCATTTCCTCATCTATGTAATGGAGGTAGTAAGATTCAGCCCATAAATTCTTGTGCAGATTAAATAATCAAATGCATGTACTAGCATAGTTCCTGCTTTAAAAGGTTAACTACTCTTACTATTATTTAATAAGGTTTGGAGATTAAGATATTTCTAACCACACTTCCTTGCATAATACCTCTAAAATATTTATATAATGTTATTTGAAACCATGCTTAGAAAAAGTCTGTGTAAACTTACATTTACTGCCAGAAGGGAAAATTATAGGAAAATAGAATATTTTAAAAATTCATATAGAGTTCAGGTTCCCTAGAAACATCCTGAACAAAGCTACTTATATTAAATTCCCTCATTGAAGGGAAAATAAGAAGACATACTCATCAATATTTTATCTTTGATCTGCAGTGAAAATTATGGTTGCAGGCTTAAAATTTTCCCCTTCAAAATCTGATGTGTGTTAAGATTGCCAAATATCCCACAAAAAATTTCTCCTTAATATCTACAGCTTAAATATACTCATTCACCAATACACCAAGCTTAAGCCTC